ACCAGTAAAATCGTTTACTAAATGTATAAACAAAAATTTTTATTGGTAAATATAGCAATATGGATATTACTCCTTACTAGGGCTGTCACCATACTAAAATGTTCAACTGGATACCGATACTCAGGAAAATATTAGATACCATTTTGGATACCACAAGGATAAAAACAAAGACCCCCAAAATGTAACTGAATTTTGACAGGTTAGTGTCTTTGGTTTCAAACTGACCTGTTACTGATGTTATGGTGGCCCACATTAATGACCCTAACCCTGACCCTAACCCTAACCCTAACCCTAACCCTAACCCTAACCCTGACCCTAACCCTCACCCTAACCCTAACCCTAACCCTGACCCTAACCCTCCACCCTTCATTTGTGAGAAATAATTGTGAGAAATAAATATTTGTTATAAACTTGTTTGGACTTATTGTACAAACCTATTTAACATCCACTATTTCAACATAATATTATGTACAGAGTTTAATTCAGTGTTAATATCACTAATCTTAAATTAATGTCTATATATCTTCCTATTGGTGACCTAATCAAAATGGCCGACTTGGATGTGGGGGAGTTGGATATTCATCCTTGGCTTCCTGCAGACTTGATTAATGTTGGCGTGTTGTTATTAAACATTAGCCACAGCTAGCAATTCAAGGCTAACGTCACGTTAATGATCAGAAACAACGTAAATAAATAAATAAATCAGAGAGAAGGGGGTGGTATCGATACTTTAGAAAATGAGTATCGTATCCGGATACAACGTTTTAGTATATATACTTTTTTGAGTATCAATGCTTTTGACAGCCCTATTTTTTACATGACTTGGATTATTTTAATGAAAGGGAGGAAAAAACAACTGTCCACCCAACGAGAAGGAGTTTTGGCTTTTTTTAAAAGATTTCCACTGCTCACAGATGCAGTTTAAATATCTGTGTAATGTTTTGGTAGAGGCAACTATCATTTTAAAGCTGTTTTTTCAGCACAAAAGGCTTGAGACATGAAATCGTAGAGGGGTTATTCAAAACAGATGCTTACTATAGCACGCCATCCTGTAAATCTAGGTACGGGAATCAGGAAAGAGTTATTACACCGAGCTCTAATAAACAATAGCAAACAGTAACTTGGCAGGACCAAAGGAATCCGTTTATAGTCCAACCTCTGGAGCTGGGAAAGACACGGACTAACATCAGGGATTCTTTATAGGCCTAAAGGTCAGTCTGAGCACGGACTTCTGACAAGGTCAGATCACATTTCCTCAGAAATTAGCATATCCTCCCTGAGACCCAAAGAAAAAAAGTGTGTTCAAATTTCTTTTTTGTTGTGATTTTCCATGTATTTGGACCTAAAAAAGAACATTACAATTTAATTTTTTTTAAAAATATTTTTAATTTTAATTTCATAGCATGCCTACTGTGGAGGACAACAGGACGGTTTGCATGGGGAAATAGAACAGGCTTTAGATCATTAAATAATAAAAAAGAAGATGTCTGGAAAGGGATATTTACCTAGGAACTCTTAGGAAAAAAGTAAAGTTCCCAGCATGCAAACCTATCACATGGCACATCGCTGGAAAGCCCAGGATGTGCTCTACAGAACACTATAGGGCTTGATAGGGTAACCCCAGATACTTAGGGGGGGTACAGGTGGACAAAATGTCCACTATAATGGACATAAATGAATGGGCCGGGTCTCAGGAGGATATCACTGGGCAGCTGCCTTCAATGACTCAGACAGGACTCTTAAACTGGGACTAATTTAGTTTCCTCTTATGGTACTGAACTTCCTGAAATGAAGGTGTCATGACTTATGAGAAAAACAAGCAGAAATGTATAATAACTTGTTATCGGGATACAATATCAATAATTGTTTGTAGATTGTTGGATAGCTGGATTTATGGAGATATGGAGCATTTGTTTGGTGCTAAGATGAGAGATATGGAGAAACAGCTTTACCTGGCTAGAGATAACTAAATCTCATTATACTGTGACCTTTATATTATACCTTTAGGTAAGAAGATAAATGTACACTCCACCACATTTTGAACTTCCTAAATTTCTTGTTCTTTTAAATTGGGGCGCTGTAGTGCCTGAACTCACACGTATTATTAACTCATTGGCTGCCAAAGACGTCTATAGACGTCTTTTATGTTTTTCAGCGAGAGTGGCTGGGGGACGATCTGCTAAAGCTTGTCCGTAAATATGGGCTTCTAGACAGAGTATGTAGTAACAAATTGAGCCTCTAGGGGGCAGTGCCACTTTTGATGGGAGATGAGCATAGACTGTAGGCAAATAAGAAAAAGGGAACGGTTCTATGAGAGAACATGTCGCCGGTGAGACGCAAGTCCAGGAAGAACGGAATAAGGTAGAAACATTTTTTTTCCTGATGAAAGAAGAGAGTCTACTCTTTCTTTTGGTGTGTTCGGTGTTTACATAGTCATAGCACAAACTATTCTGTGGCTCTTGAAAAATCAGTCAAAATGCTCAAAAAACTCTGGCTGTATGGGACTCTGTTCTGAAAATGGCTGGCGGTCAATGAGTTAAAATATACACAAACGCGGGGAAATATGGAGGAGGTTTTGGCCTGAAACAGAAGTGAAAAGCAAGTCTAGAGCTGCTGGGTCTGGCTGAGGACGCGGAGCTACCATTACCTCACAAATGTTCCATCAGATGGAAGGAATCTGAGACGTGGACCAGAGCCAACCAGTAGGAAAAAGGTCTGGGGTGTGTCTAACTGTTGAGGGGCAGATCAACTCATCTGACCCGGAGATTTTTAATGGGCCCGAAATGATATTAATTTAGTCATATTTGATCAGAGTATGATTAAAAACATTAAAGTAAACTGTGAGTATATACAGTTTACTTTAATGTAAGAGAGGGAGAAGAAACAAGATAATAATGGCAACGAAAGGGGATGGAAAAGGGCCATAGAGATTAAAAACATTAAAGCAAACTGTGAGTATGTACAGTTTACTTTAATGTAAGAGGGGGACAGGAAATGGACCCCATCTAAGAAGATAATAATGGCAACAAAAGGGGGCGGAAAAGGGCCAGAGAGTGTGGAATTTTGTATATATATATGTGTGTGTGTATATATAGACATGTATATATGTATATGCCGTTGATTTATTTATGGAACTACTAACTAAAATAATTTCCCTCTGGGATTATTAAAGTATTTCTGCTTCTGATTCTGATAGAGAAGAAATGGCCCCCCATCTACCCATCTAACGAGATAATAATGGCAACAAAAGGGGGCGGAAAAGGGACATAGATTGTGGAATCTGGTATATGTATATATGCCTACATGTATATGCCGCTGTTTTATTTATGGAGATAGTAACAAAAATAATTTCCCTCTGGGATTATTAAAGTATTTCTGATTCTGATAGAGAGGAAATGGCCCCCCATCTAAGAAGATAATAATGGCAACAAAAGGGGGCGGAAAAGGGCCATTAAGTGTGGAATTTTGTATATAGATAGATAGATAGATAGATAGATAGATAGATAGATAGATAGATAGATAGATAGATAGATAGATAGATAGATAGATAGATAGATAGATAGATAGACATGTATATATGTATATGCTGTTGATTTATTTATGGAGCTAGTAACAAAAATCATTTCCCTCTGGGAATTTGAAGCCGTCGTTTACAGCCTAAATCTAAAAAACCGTGTTGTGTGTGTGAGTAGCCCAAACCCTGACGGGACCTGAACCTGCCTTGTTGCCG